TGACAAATAGTCCAATCTCTTCTTGAAAGTCTCAAGTGATGACGCTCCCACAACTTCTGAGGGCAAGCTGTTCCATTGGTTGATTGTTCTCACTGTCAGAAAGTTTCTCCTTATTTCCAGGTTAAATCTCTCCTTGTTCAGTTTCCATCCATTATTCCTACAGACAAGGAATATTTTCTTTAGAAAATAGCTTGACCTCCTCCTCTCTGTGGCAGCCCCTCAAATATTGGAAGACTGCTATCATGTCTCCCCTGGTCCTTCTCTTCACTATACTAGCCATGTCTAGTTCCTGTAACCGTTCTTCATATAATTTAATCTAATCATCCTGGTTGCTCTTCTCTGTACTTTTTCTAGAGTCTCAACATCTTTTTTATAATGTGATGACCAAAACTGGATGCAGTACTCTAGGTGTGGTCTTACTAAGGCTTTATAGAGTGGTATTAGTACCTCACTTGATCTTGATTGTATCCCTTTGTTAATGCAACTTAGGATTGCATTAGCTTTTTTGGCGGCTGCTGTACACTGCTGGCTCATATTTAACACTTTTTCTCTTTGAGTAGCAATAGCACTTAGACTTATATACCACTTCAGTGCTTTACAGCTCTAAGCGGTTCACAGATTCAGCATATTGCCCCCAACAAACTGGGTTCTCATTTTACCGACTTTGGAAGGATGGAAGGCTGAGTCAACCCTGAGCCTGGTGAGATTCAAACTGCCAAATTGCAGTCAGCTGGCAGTCAGCAGAAGAAATGGATTTATCTGATAGCGGGCGCATTTGCAACCACCAAAAGGCACCTAGCAGCTGCAACACAATGCTGTCTCCTATTTAAGTACCGGAAGTTGTGCCACTAGGACTTCAAAAGTTTTTTCATAGTTAATAGGCTTGAACTAAGCACCACCTACAGTACTTTATACCTGTGCATTTTTTTTCTTGCCTAGGTTTAACATTGAATTACATTTTGCTAGATAGGGCCCAGTGTTCAAATGTAAGATTTTGAATTTTGAGCCTACCTTTTGGCATGGTGGTTATTCCTGCAAACTTCATGTCATCTGCAAATTTGATGAATTCCTCTTCTATCTACTTATCTAAATAGTTTATGAAGATTTTGAAGAGTACCGGGTGAAAGAAAGATTCTTGGGGTATCCCACTGCTTACTTTCCTCCATGTAGATCAGGAGTGTAAAACTCACATCATCACATTGTCATGTGATGTAACTTTTCCCCCCTTCTTTAAACTGGGGGTGGGTGTGGCCAGCACATGATGCATCCAACCCGTAGGCTGCGAGTTTGATACCCCTGATGTTGTTCCATTGGACTACATCAGGTGGTATTCAGCAGGTTCTGACCAGTTCTAGAGAACTGGTAGCAGAAATTTTGAGTAGTTTGGAGAACTGGCAAATACCACCTCTGACTGGAAATTTTACCCTGACTGGATATTCTTCCCCTGCCACACCCACTAAGCTACACCCACAGAACCGGTAGTAAAAAACATTGAATCCCACCATTGGACTACATGCTGAATGTGGTTTGTCAGCCACTTACGAATCCATTTAGTGGTCCGGCTGTCTACATTTGTTTAAACAAAATTAATTAAATATATGTGTGGTTACTAGTAAGATAGGTATAACATTCTCTTTCTGTTGGTTATCTTAAAAATTAACTCTTACATTGGGGTGGGTATATTTCAGACTTTCAGAGCCTCTTGACAGGTTGAGGATTTTTATTCAAATGTTGCCCATTAATTGTCCCAGTTCAAACTGGAGGACAATTGATAAATAAAACAGCCTTTTTTTTCCCTCTTCATTTTTCCTCTCAGTGTATTTTGAGCTTTTTATTCCCTTTCCACTACTTTCTTTCCTTCTTTTTGCAATTCCACCTTTTCTGCAGTCAGAGATGAGACACCATGTTCCCCGTCTTCATTTCTCTACCAAGGAGCCTCCTTGTGAGGTAAAATTTCTGGAACATCCACATCTTCCAGCTTTTCCTTCATTATGGAATGGGTTTACCTTCGATATTTATTTTTCTTCAACATTGTTTTCTTTATTAGCTGCTGTCACTTGGTGTTAAAGCCACGAAGTTGAGAGGGGCAGCTGAAAGCATAAAATTGCCACCTGTGGAGACGCTGACACCTTTCTCGGTTGGAGAACCAGTCAGAAGAGCCTTTCCCATCCACTCCCATGCCCATCATCCCTGCCCCCCCCCCCCTCACCTCAGACACGGTCCTCTTTCCCGCTCTTTCTGGGAATGCTGGCGCTTTGCGAAAAATTCAACAGGGGGCGCTCTCAGCTTCAAAAGGGAACTGAACATGCGCTGGGCTCCAGCAGGCGCAAGGCACTTGTTGCCGGGAGGGTTCGTCGAAAGAGGCGTGTCTTCTCTTTCTGCCCCACCTCTATGAGTGGGAGGTGGGGTCTTTGCAAAGGCTGCCGGGAAGTCTTTGAGGAGACGTGGAGTCCGACGTGAGTGCCGAATTCTGTGAGTGGCGGATCTTCCGGTGCAAAGGGGTACCGCGCTGAAGGGATGCGTGGACAGGGGCCAAGTCGGAATCCGGGGTTGAAATCCGGAGGCCCATGTTCCCCTGCCGCCCGTTCCCATGCAGGGGCGGGAGGGGTGGGCGGGGAGGAAAGGAAAAAAAATTGGGGTCCAAAAAGTGAAGGGGTGGTTTCCCCCCCCCCCATTTCCTGGGCGAGCTTCTGCAGGGAAAGAAGGGGAGGCTGGCTGGAAGTCCTCCTGCTGGCTCTGGGTGGGAGGACTCAGGTGCGAGGACTGGAACTGGGTTGCTGCATCCCAGTCTTCCCCCAGAAAAGACGTTGGAGGTGCAAAAGTGGGGCTGAGATGCAGCATTCACACTGTGTGCCCGATGAGGACGTTGTTTCTCAATCTTCTTGAAAGTCTGGGAGTTGAAGTCCACCCGTCTTCATTTGGCCATGTTTGAAAAAGCGTGGATTAGGCTAAGAAGCGGGAAACATGTTTGTAGGAGTTGTACGAATCCGGAAATCATGTTAGGCTGTAAATGGTTTATTAATTGGGGTGTTAGTCCTATGTGTATTGGATGGTGGCTTATTCGTTCAGGCTTCTCGAGTTCCCAAAGAGATTTTGGGCCAGATGATGAATGGGATTCAGTTTTACTCTAACTTACTATAACTTCAAATATTCTATAACTTCATATTTCCTTATAAAATCGATTTATATAGATCTTATCTCAACTGCTGTTTTGTGACCTGAGAGTATTGTTTAAAGGATTGTTCTTAACTCTCTTGAAAACATTAGAATAAATAACTAGGAAATAGAAATCTAAAACATACTTTAAATGTATTTGCCCAGAATTTTGAGTCTTCGATAGAAGTTGATCAAGAAGAATGTGTCAGAAAATACCCCAGCTGCAGAAAAGTCAGATTAGCTAATAAGATTCTCTATTTTCTTCCCGGACATTAGTGGTTTTATAAGATTTTCTTGTTATTTTTTCTTTGGGAATGGACTCTTGCTAGTTAACTTAGTCATCCTTTTTTCCCCTTGGCTGGACTCTTCCCTTTCCTGCAACTTTTAAAGACAAAAAATGAACCTGGGTCAGATCCTCCATGCTTAGGTGGGTAGTTGAACATCAAGGTTCTTTCAAGTCCTCTGTTTCATATGAATTTTGCCCATACAGTTGGTTAACCAGTTTGGACTCAGGACAAATTGTGTGAAGCAACCTTCGTGTTGTATGATGACCCAAAAAGCAAACCCTGAAAAATGGAAAATGAGCATCCTAAGCCAGGGACATTTCCTTGGCATTTCATTTGATGTGAACTCAACCTTCCTGGCATTGTTAGAATATTGTTCCTTCATTATTTCACTCAGTATTATTCCATGTTAGGGGTCTTCTTCCATTTCCTCACTGAGACCCCTGACAAAAGCTAAATTTTTATTTCTTGAGTAAGCCATTTTTGGAACTTCCTCCTTATCTCTTCTCTATGGCTCCAGGTACTTATAAACAAACAAACAAACTTAAAAAAAGAGAGTGAAGAACAGAGTCATCTCGACAAACTTCCTAACAACAAAAAGTTAACTCTTGGGTGAAGAGCGGATAGCCTTTGTGGTCAACTCTGAAGGTACAGGAATAGTCCTATGGATTGAAAGGTGTCCACAAGATTCCTCAGACCTATTTGGAATTTCCTTATGGGACAGACAAAGGATGCAAAAACAACCATTAGCAAGTGAGGGAACTGGAAAAGGTGCTTCGGCTGTTCTGCCTGGCAGATGTGGGAAGCGCTAGGGAAGAGCTGGGCAGAAGATCCTGGAAAACAAAATCATCATCCATTCAGAGGTTCAGCCCTGGAACTTTAGAGACACCCTATACCAGAAGGCTGAAGGTCCCTGAGGACTTTGCAGCCGACTCTACAACTTTTATAGTCAATGGCTGAGGTTAGAAAGCACACTAAAACCCAAATGTTGGACCTGGTTGTTCTGGAGCAGCTCCTGGCCCTTCTGCCCCTGCTGATTAAGAGCTGGGTGCGGGAGTGTGGAGCAGAGACCAGCTCTTAAGCGGTGGCCCTGGCGGAAGGCTTCCTCCTGAGTCAGGGAGAGGAGCAGAAGGAACAAGTGAAATTGCAGGTGATAGACCTTCATCTTGGAAGTCCAGAAGGGAATAAAGAATGTGCTCGAATTCTTCACCCCTCTCTTCTATACTTCTCTAGTCTTCATAACATGGATATGTTCCACCAGTTCTTGTAGGACATTGTTCCATTATCTATTCTAGAATATACAGATAGTCCTTATTACAGTTCACTTATTGACTCTTCAAAGTTATGGCACTGAAAAAAGGGACGACCATTTTCATATTTACGACCATTGCAGCATCCTCATGATCACATGATCAAAATTCAGATACTTGGGAACTAGTTCATATTTATGACAGTTGCAGTGTTCTGAGGTCATCTTAACAGCTTTGGTGACCTTCTGACAAGCAAAGTCAATGGGATAGCTATGTGACTAACTTAACAATTGCAAAGATTCACTTTAACATATTGGGGCATTAAAGTTGATTTTAGAGAATAAGTATCCACCTCATGTTGTGTGATGTCTTACTTATTTTTTCTCCTCCGTCCTATTTCAAGTCTTTCACTCTGCAGACCAGAGATCCTATGAGAAGGAGGAATGTATCAAATCCCTCTCGGGAGCTGTTTTCCAGGAGGATCTATCAGGAATCCACAAATCAAGACATCTCAGATGGTAATCAAAAGTCCACCTATTCCCAGGAGAGGTCCCAGCTGTGTTACCTTCTCTATCTCCTGTAGAACGCCTTCTGCTATTTTATTAATTATCCATTTAAAAATTCTGTCTCCCTCACAGGGAGTCATACAATGAATTTGACTCCTTTTTATGGTGGTGCTGAAAGACCGGTTGAAGCTCCAACTCAAGTAAGAGAGATGATAATAATAATTTAAAAAATCACAAAATTAGTGTTTGCTGAATAACTCTAGCAGTAGTACTTATATACCACTTCAGTGCTCTAAGCGTTTTACAGAGTCGGCATATTGTCCCCAACAATATGTGTCCTCATTTTACCAACCCAGGAAGGATGGAAGGCTGAGTCAACTTTGAGCCGGTGAGATTCGAAGTGCCAAATTGTTGGCAGCTGGCAGTCAGCAGAAGTAGCCTTCAGTACTGTATTCTAACCACTGTTCCACCATGGCTCTTTTTAATAGAATGGTGACCCTGTTAGTAATTCTTTGGCATTGAATTGTGGAAGACTGCTGAATAATAACTAAAAGAATCACACTGACACCCTACAGTTTTGAAAAGGCCTTGTTTATAACCAGCGACTATAACCAGTCTTTAAAATCATCCTTATTTTTGTTCTGTTGTCATTCAGGAGGGTTTTGTGTCCTTTAAGGAGGTGGCTGTGTATTTCTCCGAAGAGGAGTGGTCTCAGCTGAATGTTGACCAAAAAGCACTGTATTGGGAAGTCATGCTGGAAAATCATAGGAACGTTGCCTCTTTGGGTAAGACTTTGCCAGAAATTTTATACAAAAAAGTACAAATTTGGAAAAGGAAATAAAGAAGATAAAATAATGTGATTAATGAATTAGAAAAAAGTATGATTAAATTAAAAAAAAAGAAAAAAGACAAAGTAATATTCCTCCCTCCTCTTTCTAAGTTTACATCATTATTTCCTCCTTTACATAATTTATCCTTTCTAATCCTCAAGTACAAATTTGATCACGAGTTCATTTTTTTCCTTTTTTTTTTTTCAGCTAAAGTCCGTCAGGGGCTTCCAATCACTAATAAATATTGATAGTATCCTCTGCCTAATCGGAGTCAATTTAGTCATCGAGTCAATTTAGTCATCATCTTCCCCAACCATTGTAGTTATTGTAGAGTTCATTTTTTATATGTAAGTCTCACTATGGTTATCATACTCAGAAACAATCTTCTATGACTGTTGATTGGTGCCAACATAGTGTTCTGTTTTCAGTTGGATATTGATCTTTAAAGTTCTCTGTATCACTGAATGTCTTTGAATCCAAACTTTTCTAGCTTTTATATAAAGCCACCAAAGCATGACAAAATGATCATTGTCTGCATTTCCAACATAAGTTTGAGGTACATTTATACACTTTTGAATCTTTTTCTGTTGATTTTCATATTCCTCTGTTTTGTTTTTCACAATTCATATTTATCTTTTCTACAAAATGAGATTCAAAATCTGCTTTATGTTGTTGAATAATATAGTTCCCTTTATTTGCCTAGAATATTTCTGATAAAATGAAAACTACAGTATATTGTTTTTCCGTTCTTGACTTAGTTTGGTATGCCCGCAGCTCAAGTTCTAATGCCTCTCTATATTTTATCCATTATCTTTTCTTGCTGTTTTTTTCTGCTGAAAGCCATTAGGATGTTTTGGGGCACAGCCTGAGCTTGATATCTGTTTCATATTCTTAATGTGTCATTTCTAACATGATTTTAAAATCTAGATTGATCCTATATTTATTGTACCACAAATAACCATGACATCCTGCATTTCTAGTTCTAAGACCCTCTTATTTCTGAGCAATTCCGACTTCTTATTCAAACTGCACAGCAGAATACATAGTTCGATTTCAGATTGGGAAACAAATCTTTCCATTTCCTTCAAAACTTAGATAATTCAATATTTAATCCATGTTTTTTTCCTTGCCATACAAACCTAGATGTATTTTCCAAAATTTTAATCAAGAAAGTCCAGATTTTGAAGGACTTCTCTGCATCGATGTAGTGTGAAGCAGTTATTCATTATATCCAAACTTCCTATGCTTTGCTCTTTTTTCCCTAATGTTATTTTCATTTTTCTTTTCCTGTGAAGGTAATGACAGTGAAGAAGATGAAAAGTCCAGGGAGTTATTCCAAATGATCAGTCGTGGATACAATACGAAGAACCCTACAGTTCTAATGGAAGTAGAAAGCCGTGAGAGAAGCCATTCTAATTGCAATCAGGAATGTTCATCTGATGTTCATGCATCAATGAAAGCCTCTGTGGCCCAGGAAGGAAAAATAAAAAAGAAATATATTGGAAAATGTACAAAACTATTCATGAACAAATTAGATGTGGCTAAACATCAAACCCAAATGGAAGGAGAAGATTTTATATATGGAGACAATGGAAATACTTATAAATGGACCCTGTCTCTTCCCCATCAAAATGGGTCCAATAGATCTCAAAAAAGTATCCACACAGGAAAGAAGCCACATAAATGCATGGAGTGTGGAAAGAGCTTTAGTAGGAACACTTCCCTTACATGTCATAAGAGGATCCACACAGGAGAGAAACCCTATAAATGCCTGGAGTGTGGAAAGAGCTTCACTTTTAGTACTTCTTTTACTTCGCATTCCCGGATCCATACAGGAGAGAAGCCATATAAATGCATGGAGTGTGGACAGAGCTTTACTTCGAGCAACAGTCTTGCTTCCCATAAAAGGATCCATACAGGGGAGAAGCCGTATAAATGCATGGAGTGTGGAAAAAGCTTCTCTCTTAGCAGTTCTCTTACTTCGCATTACCGGATCCATACAGGGGAGAAGCCCTATAAATGCATGGAGTGTGGAAAGAGCTTCTCTCTTAGCAGTTCTCTTACTTCACATTACCGGATCCATACAGGGGAGAAGCCCTATAAATGCATGGAATGTGGAAAGGCCTTTACTCGGAGAAGGAGTCTTACTTCCCATAAAAGGATCCAGCAACGGAATAAGATGTATAAATGCAAGGACTGTGGAAAGAGCTTTTCTACAAACTGTCAACTTACAGGTCATAAGAAGATCCACATAGGAGAGAAGCCCTATGAATGTATGGAGTACGCAAACAGCTCCAGCTCACTCAGAAATCCTTCTTTACATGAAAGAATCAACACAGAGCAACGGCCTTATAAATGCATGGAGTGTGGAAAGTCCTTTATACAGAGAATTCATCTAAGTTCACATACAAGAATCCACACAGCAGAGAAGCCCTATAAGTGCATGGAATGTGGAAAGAGCTTCTTATCTAGTAATTCTCTTACTTCCCATTACTCGATCCATACAGGGGAGAAGCCATATAAGTGCACAGAGTGTGGAAAGAGCTTCTCTCAAAGTTCTTCTCTTTCTCTTCATCAACGAATTCACACAGGAGAAAAGCCCTATAAATGCATAGAATGTGGAAAGAGTTTCCCTAAAAACAGTGATCTTATTATACATTCAAAGATCCATACAGGGGAGAAGCCACATAAATGCCTGAAGTGTGGAAAGAGCTTTGTTAAGAACAGTCAACTTATTTACCATAGTCGGATCCATACCGGGGAGAAGCCCTATAAATGCATGGAATGTGGAAAGAGCTTCCCTAAGAACAGTGATCTTATTGCACATATAAAGATCCACACAGAGGAGAAGCCACATAAATGCATAGTGTGTGGAAAGAGCTTTATTAAGAACAGCCAACTTATTTACCATAGTAGGATCCATACAGGGGAGAAGCCATATAAATGCATGGAGTGTGGAAAATGCTTTACTGCCGGTAGTAATCTTCTCGCCCATAAAAAGACACACACAGGGGAGAAGCCTTATAAATGCACTGAATGTGAAAAGAGTTTTTCTACAAACAGTTATCTTAACATCCATAAAAGGATCCACACAGGGGAGAAGCCTTATAAATGTATGGTCTGTGGGAAAGGTTTTATTATGAACCGTTCTCTTAATGCCCATATAAGGACCCACATAGTGTAGAATCCATATAAATCTGTGAAATCTGGAAAAAGGTTCAAGATGAACAGTGCCCGAATGTTGTCTATACGGATACATTTTGGTGAGAATATGTTTAAACGTTAGGTTTAATGATTGAAATATATGCATTTTCTAATTACATTTACTGAATTAGAGTTTTTTTGAGTCCAATGTTGACAACTAGAAGCCCCAGGGAGATGAATTTACCAATGGAAACCAAATGCTAGCCATGTTTTAATTACAAACAGTGAATTTTTGTAGCTACTGTCATTTGAAGGTCAGCAATGCCATTTCACATAAATAAAGGACCATCTTCCTTTCTTCATGTTTATCGCATTTTCGATTGGATCATAAGAAAGCCTTAATCCCTAATAAAAGGTTAATTTTTGAGATCAAGCATACAGCTTAGCTAGTAAAATATAATTCAATGTGTTATATGGGAAAGCTATAAATCAGGGACGACGTGTAGGAGTTATAGCTAAATGTGAATTACCAAAGTTCAAGTGATGCTATAGAAGATACCTTATGAACAGAACAGTTTAAGTAGCAACTGTTTTGCAGTTAAGCTGTGTATAGCTGTCATTAGAAGTTATATAATGAATTGCAAAATTTTGAAATGAAACGGCTTGGGATATTGTGCTAAATTACAAGAATGTTAAAAAGAAACATCTGGTGACTGGGTAACATCAGATACTCTAACTTAATTCTTAATGCTACAAAAAACTCACTGGATTTACAATCTCCAACTCTGTGTATTCAGTTTGGACAAAGGGCTCACGTGAGAATGTTATCTCTTCAAGACAAAACATTTTAAATCTTTCTCCCTCTATAGCAGAAATGAGAATGGGAATTTAGTCTGCAGTGTGAGGAGATGAGAAAATAATCCAACTCTTCAATTCACTATGAATAACAGACCTAATCAATCATTATGGATGCGGAAGGAGGGAACTTTTTTCTGTCAAAGGCTTATCATGTTTTGAGAGAATAATCATACAGGTATTCATTCGAGTGTGAAGAAAGTTTCAGGATGAGGAAATCCCCTCTCAGAAAAAGCCAGAATGACCAGAAACCCCTGAAATTCATGTGCAAAAGACTTTCCAAGCATTAGGACCATATTTTGGCTTCCTATGGTGAGATCAGAGCTAAGAAAAAGTCTAAATTTAATGTGAATGAAAATGTATATCAATGGTTCTGTATACAACACCTGCAGCCCTTTCTTCACTGGACAGTTTATTGTACCGGAGGGGAAAACTGGATGAATAGCCAGAAAACGATGAGACCGCAGTATAGAGGGCTTCATGCAGGCAGTCAGGGCACCAAATTCCTTAAAGCAGCTCCAGTAATGGAGGATTATGATTGAGGAGGGGAAGAGAAAGTCGCCTGACAAATGCCTATGGAGATTCTCATACATCCAGAAGCCTTGGTTGTCCCAAAGGTACTTTTCCAAAAGGCAACTGGACTTCCTTTGTGTTTTCCTGAAAACCTTTTGCTTCTCATCCAAGAAGCATCTTCAGAACTCAAGGTGCTCCTTGGATAAGAAGTGAAACATTTTCAAGAAAATAGAAATTACAGTTGCCTTTTGAAAAAGTACCTTTGGGAACTATTGACAAATCCAGAGGAGCGAAAAGAGTTTTCGTATATAAACAACTGAGAAGATAGAAATTGATATATCCAGTAAGATAGAAATAGTTGCTAACCTATAGTAATAGGAAGAGAGTAAAATGAGCAATGTGCGATTAACATTAACTTTACAAGTAAGGAGTGGGAGTTTTAAGTGCACCTTATAAAATTTTTGTGGGAAGAACAAATTCTCTTTATATATGTTTACGATGAGAAAAGCCCTAACAATTGCTTATTGGTAAAAAAATTGGGTGGCAGACAGACCTCTGAGTGTGAGAGGCTCCTGCTGGGTTGAACTTGAAGCTGTTTATTTAAATAATAATCGTGCATGAATCTGTATCAAAATGGAGAAAAGAGACACCAATTCGAGTTTTATGCCAGTTACTGTCCAATTTTTTATTAGAGAAATGGAAATCAGACTGAGAGCCATACAAAATTAGACATCAATTGAACCTTTTATTCATGATCTAGAGATATCCCAGTTGCTTTAAATTCTAGAAAAGTTTTAAGTTTCCTACTTATATTTCCTGAGGGTGTTTGGTATTCAACCCCTAAATAAAACATATTCTCCCCCCCCCCCCCATGGTATTTTATGTTCTCTTTTCCATTGTTGTGTTCCATCATATTGCGGTTCCCCTTTTTCTCTTGTCGCAGATGAGACGCCATTTTGCCCCTCTATTTGTCTTCCAAGGAGCCTCGCTGTGAGGTAAAATTTCTGGAACATCCACCAGTTTCAACTTTTCAAGCAGCCAGTCGGTCTTTCCAATTATTCTTGGCTTCACCCAGAGACAAAAAAAATTTGACAAGTGCAGGGAACTAGAGAACAAAAACACGGTAAAAGTCTCCGTTTTCCTGATTGTGGCTTCCCTGCCCCAGCTTCATCTTCCCCTTTAGGCTGGGGCCTGCAACAACCACAAGATATAAAATATGCTAATCAGAGAGCCTCTTGGTCCTCATGTTCTGCCTGCCTAGCTGTTTCTGACAGGATTTGGCTCCTTTTGAGGCCTCCCTCAATCTCTGGAGCCTTCAGGTCAGCTGTTCTTGGGGGAAACTAGTTCAAATCCTCCAGAGAGATTTTTCTCCATCTCCACAGACTGTTCTGGACAGGAAAGAGGAAGGTGGAGAAGATTCCACTGCTGGAGATGCCGCAAAGGGGTCCCGCCTGGAAGGGTGCATAGAGAGGGGACAAGTCTTCCTTCAGGGTTGGAGTCCGGATCCCATGTTCCCCTGCTGCCCTTCATCATGCAGGGGCCAGGCTGGGGGGGGGGGGGACATGCAAAGGAAAGAATGTGGGGTCACTAGAAGGGGAGGGGGTGTTTCCCCCATTTCCTGGGGGAGTCAAAGCCGGCTTGAAGTCCTGCTGGTTCTTGGTGCAAGGATGGATGTGCGAGGACAGGAACTGGGGTGCTGCTTCCCAGCCTTTTCCCACGACCGCAAAGGGGCTCTTCCTGCAGAAGAGAAGGGAGACGTTGCAGGGAGGTGCAAAAGTGGGGCTGATGTGCAGCATTCGCACCGTGTGCCCGATGAGTCCAGTTCTTGTCAGACTTCTTGAAAGTCTGGGAGTTGAAGTCCACCCGTCTGAATTTGGCCATGTTTGAAAAAGTGTGGATTAGGCTAAGAAGCAAGGAAACGTGTTTGTAGGAGTTGTATGAATCAGGAAATCATGTTAGGCTTTAAATGGTTTATTCATTCGGGTGTTAATCCTATATGTGTTTGGTGGTGGTTTGTTTAATTCAGGCTTCTGAAATTCCTAAAGGGATTTGGATGAAATAATGAGTAGGATTCAGCTGGCTAAAGTTTTTCAAGTTCAAAGGTTGATTTATTTTCTTATAAAAATCGATATATATAGCTCTTACCTCAATTGGTTTTTCTGCAATTCTAATTATTAGTTGAATTATTTTGTGTCAACTTTGCCAACAGGGCTAGTTAACCAGTTTGGGGTCAGGGCAAATTGTGTGAAGCAGCCTTCGTCTTATAGTATGACTTTGCTCCCAAAAAGCAAGCTCTGAAAAACAAAGTGGGCATCCTAAGCCATTGCCGTTTCCTTGGCATTTCATTTGATGTGAACTCAACCTTCATGCCATCATTAGAATGTTGTTCCTACCCACGATACTTAGTATTATTCCATGTTAGGGGTCTTTTTCCTTTTCTTCACTGAGACCCCTGACAAAAGCTAAAGTTTTCTTTCCTGACGTAAGCCATTTTTGGAATTTTGTCCTCTATGGCTCTTGTTACTTACAAAGATACAAACTTAAAAATACAAGAGTGAGGAACATCCTTAATGAATGTCTAATGCCTAAACGTCTCAATATGAAGCACAAGAAACATGTGTAAACATTCTGTATTCCATTCCAGTTTCTTAAGCTTCCTTGAGTTTTGGAGACTTTATGAACCCTAAGTGTAGGGTAAATGTCGATCTTAACATTAAAAAAAAGTTAGCCTACACTTTGAGGAAAAAAGAAATAGAAAATCCTCCAAATTTATATTTGTTAAGATTTATTTTATATTCCAATAGAATACCTAGAAGTAAACAAAGTAATAACCAAAATCCAATATGGGTTTGTCAAAAACAAATCATGCCAGACTAATCTTATTGCATTCCTTGACAAAGTGACAAAATTAGTGGACCAGAGGAATGTTGTCAGTATAATTTACTTGGACTTCAGTAAGGCATTTGACAAAGTAGACCATAACCTACTACTTGATAAAAGAGAAAAATGTGGGTTAGACAGCATCACCACCAGATGGATTTGTAACTGGCTGACCAACCGCACTCAGCGTGTAGTCCTCAATGGAACTGCATCTACCTGGAGGGAGGTATTAGGTTCAGCTCTGTATTAGGTCTAGTACTCTTCAACATCTTTATCAATGACTTGGACAAAGGGATAGATGGGGAACTCATCAAATTTGCAGATGACACCAAGCTACCAAAGCATAGGCTTAAGATACAGAAGGATCTTGACACACTTGAACATTGGGTACTATCTAACAAAATGAAATTCAATGGTGAAAAAAAGTAAGGTTCTACATTTAGGCAAGAAAAACAAAATGCACAGGCACAGTATATGTGGTACCTTGCTCAATAGGTGGTGACTCTGAGAGGGATGTTGGAGTCCTAATGGATATTCACTTAAATATGATCCAGCAGTGTGCTGCAGCTGCCGAAAAAGCCAACACAGTTCTAGATTGCATAAACAGAGAGATAGAATCAAGATCATGTGAAGTATTAATACCACTTTATAATGCCTTGGTAAGGCCACACTTGGAATAGTGCATCCAGTTTTGGTCGCCACAATGTAAAAAAGATGTTGAGACTCTAGAAAGAATGCAGAGAAGAGCAACAAAGATGATTAGGGAACTGGAAGCTAAAACATAAAGAATGATTGCTGGATGTGTCTAGTTTTACAAAAAGAAGGACTAGGGGAGACATGATAGCAGTCTTCTGATATCTCAGGGGCTGCCCCAAAGAAGAAGGAGTCAAACTATTCTCCAAAGCACCTGAGGGTAGGACAATAAGCAATGGGTGGAAACTAATCAAGGAGAGAAGCAACTTAGAATTAAGGAGAAATTTTCTGACAGAACAAATAATCAGTAGAACAACTTGCCTCCAGAAGTTGTAAATGCTTCAACACTGGAAGTTTTTAAGAAGATGTTGGACAACCATTTGTCTGAAGTGGTGTAAGGTTTCTTATCTAAGCAGGGGATTGGATTAGAAGACCTTAAAGGTCCCTTCCAACTCTGTTATTCTATAAAATATTCCATTTCTGGATGAAAACTAGGACCATATTTTGCACCACACGTGATGGACAGAGAGACATAGAAATACCCAGAGGATTGATCGTGAGAAAAAAAAAAAGATGCATACCTTCGTTTTTTTCATAAAGGCCTATTTACTTGCACTATCATGTATATTAAGGGTTGAAGGGCCTGGAATAAAACCAATGTTAAATTGTGTGCTTAAATTCTGATCTTCACATATGTCAAAATCGTGTTTTGCAACACTGGCAGTTGGTTAGCTAGCAAGATGTTGTGGGCAAACAGGAAGTGTGTGCTTAAAAGTACATGTAAAAATAACTGTTGTAACACTGAGGTTAAAGGAATGGATAACTGCCCCTGTTGCTATGACAAGTTGGCAGAATCCTCAAAGTCATATGCTTTGCCATTTTAGGGTATATAATGAAATGTTGAATGGTGGATATAGGCCCGTTGGTCTCAAGCCATCTCTTGACTGCTTGTCCGATGAACCCTCATTGCAATGTGTTATGTGCCTTATGTATGTTGTGCTGTAAGGCTTTCGATGGGTCCTCAGTTTAAGTGCCTTATGTTTGCTATGCTTTAAATTTTAAACAAACCCCTGGATCCTAAGTGAGATGCTTTATGGTGTGCTGTCTGTTCAATTTCTAGTAGATGCAGCTATGCTCATAATTATATATTAACCTAGAGGCCATATCAATGGACAGGTTCAAACACATTACCGATAAAATTTAATAGTTATAGGATAAAATACAATAATTTAATACATAAAATGGAAAATAGTATAAAATGACATAAAATTATTTCTGTATCACCCCAGCAATCTACCCCAATCAGGCCCACATATGCTGATCTCAGTCAGACCATTTTCGTCAGAAATTGTGCTGTATTAAATGTTGTTTTCAGATTCTGGCCACACATGAGGTATGTTGTTTTAATATGGGCCTCCCACTGGGCCGTACATTTAATATGTGGATCAAGGTACTTATCTCTCACCCCCTTATACAAACAGCAATTGAATAATATATGAGTCAGATCTTCTACCTCTTCAGCTCTACAGATACATGTACGATCATTGTATGGGATAGAATGGAATCTCCCAAATCTAACCATTGTATCAAACTGTTCGAATCTTGCTCGGGTAAATGTCTCCCTGAAATGTTTTGGCAATTGTGATTTTAAATAGTTGTCCATTTGGAAGGTGTGTTTATATTTGCTCAGCCATTTCAGGCTAGCAGCCCTACTAAGTGTGGCTTTGTCATTTTGGGCTTCTATATCCATGATTCTTTGGGCAACTTTTGTTGTTGTTGTTCTCCTGTTACACAGGGTGCAGGGAGACCACAGCTCTTTATATATGTAATTTGTCAATTTAGTAATTCAGAGGGTTTGTGATTGCAATTTTATCTGCTCCAGCAGACATAGCTTAGGGAGTTTATCCGCCTCCATTTTCTTAATTTTGAGCCAGTAGTTGTAAGCTCTGGTTTTAGACAGTGTGTAAATTCTCAGTTCTGCTCTGACTGCTCCAGCAAATGTCTTAGGGTCCACACCTAAATACATCTTAGATGCTGAGACTGCTTGCTCTAAAGCTGTAATGGGGTGTGTGGTAAAAAAGACCCCCCAAAATAAATAGAAGATAACTGTTATATTCTGGGCATGGGTGCAAGTAATTGAGACGAGTCAGTGAGTTAGTGAACTTCAACTCTTTATTAAGAATCAGAAACAAAGAGCAAAACCTTTGGGCAGCAGTAGCCCTTTTATAGGACTAGCTACTGACCTGTTAACCAATGACCTATGTCCACATGCTTAACGTTTGGCCAATGAAAGATGTTAAAGTAATAGCCAATCAGGTTGTTCCCTGAGGACCAATCCCAGTTCGCTATCCTAGGCCAATCCAAAGTGCAGGATTTCAAGCCTGCTTAACATAATGTTAATAAGTTTATTCAATTGGTTTTTGTTAGTTCATAACACCCCTCCCCCCTAGGTTCCATTTGAGGGGTGCGGTAACATATTCGCGTAGATATGCAGGTCGTTTCACCTGCCTGTTTGATTTCCGCAGTTCCACCGGTTTTTGTCTGCAGTCCGATTCCGGTGGAATGCTATGAAGGGTTTCTGGTGCGGCTAGTTCTGTTTCCGCGCGGGAGGACTCGGCGCGGCTCTCGTTGTTGTCATCCCAGTCTCCTAGGCTTGCTTCCGGGTCCCGTGGGCTTGCTTCCCTCGTGCTATTTCTGGGCGGAGATATCACCCCGCTCCCTGATTCTTCTTCAGGTTGCGCGTTTTTTTGGTTAGGTTGCTGGGTCCCCATGATTATGTCGTCATCAAGCCCGTTTTCGGCCTCCTCGATATCTCCTCCCCCCTTAGTTTGTGAATCACGGGAGGTGGGTGCCATTCTGGATCGAAGTTGATCTATATGGCGTTTCCAAAGTCTCCCGTCATTAGTCTGTAGGCGGTAGGATCTGGGGCCGGTGGGTTGGGTAATAGTTGCAGGGACCCATAATGGGTCACCTGAAAAGTTTTTAGCAAACACCAAGTCGCCTACCTTGAATTCGCGGCACTTCCCGCTAGATCCACAGGGTTTTTCTGGTGAATACGAGGGATGGAGGCGATCGAGGTGAGAGCAAAGTCTCCGCCCCATTAGCAGTTCGGCAGGCGTCTTATTCGTGATGCTGTGTGGGGTGATGTGTTGAAGCAGGAGTATTCGGTTGAGCTTGTCGTCGATGTCCCCATAGTCCATTTTATGTAGGGTTTTCTTGATGAATTGTACCATTCGCTCCGCCCTTCCGTTGGCCGCAGGGTGCGCCGGCGAGGTGAGCGCGTGGCGGATGCCCCGGTCCGCTAGATACTGTTCAAAAGCTAGGGCCGTAAACTGGGGCCCGTTATCGGAAACTAAAACGTCTGGTAGCCCATGCATCACGAATAATTTATTCAGTTTATTAATGACTGACTCTGTTGTGGTTGTTTTCATTTTTTGGATTTCTAACCAGTTTGAATAGGCATCAACTGTTAATAAAAACGTGTGTCCTTTGGTGGGTCCCGCAAAATCAACGTGGATACGGGACCACGGGCCTCGAGGGGTTTCCCACTCGGTTGGCGTCGCTTTAGGTGGGGCGTTGCTAACATCTTGGCACTTCCGGCATGTGGTTACCCAGGCTGCAATTTGTTTATCAATACCCGGCCACCATGTGTAGCTTCGTGCGAGCGCCTTCATGCGCACGATGCCCGGATGTCCCTCGTGTAATACTTTTAAGACAGTCTGTTGTAGCCTCTCTGGGATGACTACTCTATCCCCCCAGAGAACGCAACCTTTCTGGGAGAAAAGCTCTGTCTGCCGATTCTTGAATGGTGCGAAATCGTCGTGGATTTGGTCGGCTGGCCATCCTCTTTCGACCCAACTGAGGACTCGTGCCAGGATAGGGTCCCTTTTTGTCTCGATCGCGATGTCTCTCGCTGTCAGTGGTGAGTGCAGCGTTTCGATTTGGAGCGTCGTGAGGGTTGGAGCTGGGTCGTCGACGGCTTCCGGAAGTGGAGAACGACTCAATGCATCAGCGTGGGGAATGGCTTTCCCTGGGCGATGTTGCAACACGTAATTGTAGGCAGCTAGAAACTCAGACCATCGAATCATTCTTGGCAATAATATATAGGGAGTTGGTTTGTCTCCCGCTATAATCCCAAGCAATGGTTTGTGATCTGTGACTATCGTAAATGCTCGTCCATAGACGTACTCGTGAAAACGCTTCACAGCAGACACAACGGCAAGGGCCTCCTTATCGAGTTGGCTATAGTTCCTTTCGGTCTTTGATAATGTTCGTGAAAAAAAAGCAATAGGTGCTTCGTTTCCGTTTGGAAGTACATGGCTTAAGATCACTCCCACTCCAAACGGTGAAGCGTCGCAAGTAATATTCAAAGGTAAAGTCTCGTTGTACTGCATCAAAACAGCGTCGGAGGTTAGCAAGTCTTTTATTTGTTGGAAGGCACTTTCCTCTCGACGTCCCCAAACCCAGGTAGCTCTTTTATCAAGAAGTCTGTGTAAGGGCTCCGCTACAGTCGCCTTCTGGGGCAAGAAAATGTTGTAGAAGTTAATGAGCCCCAGAAAGGCTTGGAGGTCTGTTCTATTTTTGGGCGTTGGGGCATTTTTAATCGCTTTTAACTTGTTATCAGTGGGGTGGATTCCTTGACTATCGAGAAGGTATCCCAGGAACTCCACCCTCTCGGTACACAGTTGACATTTATTTTTTTTAACCTTCAGGCCGGCGTCTTTAAATTTCTTCAGAACCATTCTGAGGCGCTTTTCTAAAATGTCTCGATTAGGGGCGGCGATTAATACATCATCAAAGTATGGTACGACCCCTTTTATACCTTGTAAGAGTCTCTCCATTAAACTTTGAAAAATTCCCGGAGCTACTCACTCCGAATTGGAGTCTATTGCACTTAAAAGCGCCTCTATGTGTAACGATAGTCTGTGCTTCCGCAGTTTCCGCATCAACGGGCAACTGTTGGTACGCTTGTGCCAAATCCAATTTAGCGAATATCTTCCCACCACCCAAGGAGTGGAGAAGGTGTTGAACCACTGGTACCGGGTAAGCACTTTGCTGAAGTGCGTGGTTCAAAGTGGCCCGATAATCCCCACAAATTCTTAACAATCCATCTGGTTTAATGGGTGTTACAATTGGGGTTTCCCAACGGGCGTGGTCGGTTGGTTCTAAAATGCCCTGGGCTATTAATTTATCGAGTTGCTCGTTGATCTTTGGTTTTAGTGCAAAAGGCACCCGACGAGGCTTAAGGCGGATGGGAGCTATGTCAGGGTTGAGGTTAAACGATATTGGGGTCCCCTTGTACTTGCCTAGTCCGTCTGAAAAAACGTCCTGGAATTCTTGGACGAGAGACTCCTCCCAGTCATTGCTCTCAGCCCGGTGGATGCCGGCTACCACGATCCCGAGCGGGGCGAACCATTGTAGGCCTAATAAACTAGGCCGATCACGATCGATGACAGTTAGTGGTAATGATGCGCTACGGTTCTTGAAGGAGACTTGGACTTGGCTGGAACCGACGACCGGAATTCTGTTGCCCTGGTAATCCTTGAGTATGATCCTCTGGGGATTGAGGTCCTGTCGACGGATGGCAGGAATTAGTTGCTTGAAAGTTTTCCAGGAAACCATTGAGAGGGACGACCCCGAGTCGACTTCCATCACGCAAGGTTGGTTCTCGATGGCGACCCTCACTCGGATCTTCCTTGCGTCTAAGGATGTAGCGTGGCCGATGGTGATGGTTTGGTGTGCTTCCTCCCATCTCGTGGAAGAGGCAGGTGTTTTATTTCTGTAGGAGTGGTTGTTCCATTGGTGGTTCGGGTGGTTCCGATTCACGGGCTCGAATCCTGAAGACTTGCTACAGTTATTCTCCCTGCGCTTGGGGCTGGACCCTCGCTTGCTTCTGCAGACCTTTGCAATGTGGCCTCTTTTTCCACAGGAATGGCAGAGTGCGTCGAGGAATTTGCACTCGGATCGTGGGTGTTTTGCCCCACAACCCGCGCATTGTCGCGGGAATCGTTGGGTTTGTTGGTCTCGTTCGGACCGGAGTCGGTTGACCTCTTCCTCATCACTTTCTGATGGGGATTCCAGGTCTTCGTGATGCGCCGTTGTTGAGTGCCTCTCAGGGCGAGGCGAGGTGTCATTTGCGAGTTGGCGAAGCGGTGCGTTGTTGCGGCGCATTCGAGCGGCCGACTTCTTGGTTGCTTTTGCTGCAGTAGCATCTGCGATGGCATCGGCAAGATCGATGTCCCCTTTTGCCATGATCTTGCTTTGTACTGTGTGGTCATCTAATCCCAGAACTATGCGGTCTCGCAAAGCTTCTTCGAGGTTGGAAAACCCACAGAGGCCTCCCAAATTCCGGAGGTCAGCGATGTAGTCTGCGAGACTTTCGCTTTTCCGTTGGTCCCTCTGGTAAAATTCATGTCTTCGAACAAGTGTGGGCACCGCGGGTGCATAGTGGGCCTTCAGGAGGGGAGCGAGGGCGTCCCAGTCCATGGATTTCACTTCAGCCGGTTTTGCGAGTGATTTCGCCATTTCGCCGCAATGGGTCAGGAATATTGCTCGTTTCTTGCCGGTTGTCGCGTCCTTTAGGTTATTGGTCTCCAAAAACATTTGGAACCGATCCATATATGAGTCCCAGTCTTCGTTTGCCGGGTCGAATGGAGCGGGTGGTATAGCACCGCTGGCCATGTTGCCGTCGTTGGTGCGTGTTCAGCCACGTGCTCTGCTTGGCGCTCTTTTAGTGTTCAGTCAGCTCTATCGTCTCTTGCATCCCATCCTCGTCGCCAGTGTTATATTCTGGGCATGGGTGCAAGTAATTGAGACGAGTCAGTGACTTAGTGAACTTCAACTCTTTATTAAGAATCAGAAACAGAGAGCAAAACCTTTGGGCAGCAGTAGCCCTTTTATAGGACTAGCTACTGACCTGTTAACCAATGACCTGTGTCCACATGCTTAACGTTTGGCCAATGAAAGATGTTAAAGTAATAGCCAATCAGGTTGTTCCCTGAGGACCAATCCCATTTCGCTATCCTAGGCCAATCCAAAGTGCAGGATTTCAAGCCTGCTTAACATAATGTTAATAAGTTTATTCAATTGGTTTTTGTTAGTTCATAACAATAACAATACAATAAAATAATTCTTACTTTAGAATCAGAGGTTTATTTCATGAGTAATTTGGAACATTAATAGCCAACATATCAATACAATCTCACAGCATTACTTACATCAATAACCCATTGCAATGAGGTCCAGAGACAGTAGCTAGGTCCAGCAAGGAAGAGCTACTATCAGTGGCCATGATTTGCAACCCATCTCCTTCTTTTATACCTTTCTTCTGAAAGCCCCTCAGTAAATGGAATTTTACTGGAGTTACTTTTTTGTTCTCTCATACTGACCGTCAGTTAACACATACTTGTGTGTGCATCCTACGATCTGCTGCTTTCAGTTCCCTATTTCCCAATGTCTGTGATATCCTTAGTCCAAAATAGCTCCTGAAACTAATTACTTTGCAAATACATGTTACAAAATTATGCTTGCACAGCAGATTACAAATATTTTGTTATTCTTAGGAAATCATTTTAACTGACACTAAATATATAGCATTTTATTTCAGGCCTGCTATTATTCTGAGGCCTGTATAATTCTGGCAAATTCAAAGCCCAGTTTTCCTTTTCTCATAGGTGTAAACCCCAAACCCCAGCTCCATATAGGAGCATAGGGGTTACCTTAGCTTTATATACTTTGATTAGTGGTACTAGGGAGCCTGGGTAACTGTAATTCTTTAATTAAGGTAATAGATTCATGCAAGCTTTTGCTCTAAGTGTGCTCAGTTGATGGTTACAAGCCCAAGGTCTGGTCTTGGGAAAACTTATGCCTAAGTATATGAAAGTGCTAACCTTTCAATTGGTACTCCATCTAGCTGTCATCTATGTCTCTGGTTATGTTTATCAAACACCATAATTTTTCATTTAGATTTACTAACAATTAGAGAGTTTTCCTGACAGTAGTAGCTAAATCTCCTTAGTGCCAAGCAATCCTACTTGTGGGTACAATAATAGGATCATATCATCATAGAGAAAGGTGTTACAATTTCTATGACCCAGACTGACCCAGACAAAAAGTGGGATTCCTTTCTTTCACCCAATGGTCTTAAATGGAATCATTTAACAATAAGGACAACTCTTGAAAATCCTCCTGATTTTTGTTCTGTTTTCTTCTCATTCAGGAAGGTCTTGTGTCCTTTAAGGAGGTGGCTGTGTATTTCTCCAAAGAGGAGTGGTCTCAGCTGGATGCTGACCAAAAAGCACTGTATTGGAAAGTCATGCTGGAAAATCATAGGAACGTTGCCTCTTTGGGTGAGAATATACAAGATTTTTTTTCAGAATAAAAACTACAGACTTTGAAGATGAAATAAAGAAGATAGAATCATGTGATTAAAAAATAGAAAAAAGTATAAAATTTAAAAAAGGGAAAAGGCAAAGTAATAAAAGTAATATTTCCCCCTCTTTCTAATGTTACATCATTGTTTCCTCCTTTACATAATTTATCCTTTCTAATCTTCAAAAATCACAAGTTCATTTTTTCTTTTTTTCAGCCAAAAGTCGATCTTGGGTTCCAATCACTAATAAATATAGATACTATGCATTATCGGAGTCAATTTAGTCATCATTGAGAATTCTCTCATCTTCCCCAACCATTACATCATTCTAGTTATTGTAGAGTCCTTCTGTGTATAATATGGTTGTCATACTCAGAAACTATCTTTTATGACTGTTGATTAGTGCCAACATAAATTGTTCTGGTTTCAGTTGGATATTGATCATTAAAGTTCTCTGTATCACTGATTGTCTTTGAATCCAAAGTTTTCTAGCTTTTTTACAAGTCCACCAAAGTATTACAGAATGATCTTTTATCTTGTCCACATCTCCAATATAATTTTGAGGTACATTTATACACTTTTGAATATTTTTCTGTTGATTTTCAAATTCCTCCATCTGTTTAGAGGTGTTAGCAATTACATATTCATCTTTTCTACATGTGAGATTCAAATTCTGCTTTATGTTATTGAATACTATAGTTCCCTTTATCGACCTAGAATGTTTCTGATAATATGAGAACTATACTGTTTTTCCGTTCTTGATTTAATTTGATATTCTCACAGCTCAACTTCTAATTGCTCTCCACATGTTACCCATTTTCTTTCCTTGCTGCTTTTTTTCTGCTGAAAACCATTAGGATGTTTTGGGGCACAGCCTGAGTTTATATCTATTTCATATTCTCAATGTGGCATTTCTAACATAATGGTTTAAAATCTAGTTTGATCCTAAATTTAAGAGCTTCATTAAGAACTGTGAACTTACCATAGTAGGATCCATACAGGGGAGAAGCCATATAAATGCATGGAATGTAGAAAGTGTTTTTCTATGAAGACGAATCTTAAGACCCATGAAATGATCCACACAGGGAAGAAACCTTATAAATGCATAGAATGTGGAAAGTGTTTTTCTACGAAAACGAATCTTAAGACCCATAAAAGGATCCACATAGGGGAGAAACCTTATCAATGCATGGAACGTGGAAAGAGTTTTTCTACGAACCGTTATCTTAATCACCATAAAATGATCCACACAGGGGAGAAGCCTTATAAATGTATGCTGTGTGGAAAAGGTTTTATTATGAACAGTTATCTTAGCTACCATAAAAGGACACAATGTAGTAGCCATAGAAATCTGTGAAATCTGGAAAAAGCTTCAAGAGAACCAATGGCTGTATTTCCATATACGAATACATTTAGGTGAGAATCGGTTAAAATGTTAGGTTTTAATTGTTGAAATAATATGCATTTCCTAATTACATTAACTTAATTAGGAAAGGGTTTTTTTTGAGTCTGATCTTCACAACTTGAAGCCCAAGAGAAATGGATTTACTAATGGAAACCAAGAGGTAGTTATGTTGTGTTTTAATTATGAACAGTGGATTTTTGTAGCTACTTTCATTTGAAAGTCAGCAATGCCAAGAGAGAACATTTTTTTCTTCATGTTTTTGACTGGATCATAATAAAGCCCAAATCCCCAAGAAGAGTTTAATTTTTGAGAGGAAGCATAGGCTTAGCTACTAACACGTAATTCCATGCATATTATGGGAAAGGCATAAATCAGGAAAGACTTGCAGAAGTTACCGCTAAATATGAATTATCAAAGTATGAGTGATGTTAAAGATGAATAGAACAGTTTAAGTTACATAATGAATTGCAAGATGTTGAAACAGGAAACATCTTCAGATATTGTGCTAAATTACAAGAATATTCAAAAAGGAAACCTCTGGTGACAGTGGAACATCAGATTGTATAACCTTAATGCTACAAAAAGCCCACTGGATTTATAATCTCCACCTCAGTGTATTCAGTTGGACAAGGGGCTCACCTGAGAATGTATCCTACTATTGAGCTGGAAAATGGTTGCTCTAGGAGGGATGTGATCAGGCAGACATTTAATAGGTGTTTCTTTCCCAAGAAGCAGAAGGAGTTGCATCTTTTCAAGACAAAACTTTTCATAATCTTTTTTCTTCCATAGCAGAAATGAGAATGGGAACTTCTGGAGTGTGATACGAAAAAAATACACAGAAAACTCTTTCAATCTACTGTGAAAAAAAGAAATGCAGAAGCAGGGACCTTTTTGTCTCTCATGTTGTGTAAGAATAATCATATAGATTCTAATTCAAATGTGAAAAAAGTTTTAGGATTCCTGTCTCACAAAAAGCCAGTATGACAAGAAGCCCCTGATATACATGTGCAAAATATTTCCCAAGCTTTAGGACCATATTTTGCTTTTCTGTGATGAGATGAGGGCTAAGAAAATCTCTACATTTAATGTAAATGACAATGTATATCAATGGTTCTGTATATCACAGTTGCAGTCCCTTCTTCGCCAGAGAGTTTTTATATAGATGGGGAAAGCTGGATGAATCTCAAGAAAAGAATGAGACTTTCCGATGTGAAAATCAAGGGTAGTGGGCTTTATACAGACAGCCAGGGTGCAGAATTCCTCATAGCAGCTCCAATAATAGAAAATTGTAATTGAGGAGGGGAGAGGAAAGCCCCCTGACAAATGCCTGTGAAGATTCTCATACACACAGATCATGGCTGTCCCAGAAATAATTTTCCAAAAGGCAACTGGATTTTGTGTTCAATTCTCATCCAAGAAACATCTGAAAATGCTTCTTCAAAACTGAAGATGCTCCTTGGCTAAGAAGTGAAAATATCTTCAAGAAAGTAAAAAGTCCAGTTGCCTTTTGAAAAAGTGACTTTGGCAGCCCTTGACAAATATAGATGAGCAAAAGGGGTTTTCATATGTAAACATAGAGAAAGAAGACAGACATAGATATGTCAAGTAAGATAGAAATATTGCTAGCCTTTTTTTTTTTTAAAAAAAAGGTTTATTGGTTTTTAAAGACAAACAAAAACAAACAAAACATAAAAACATCCAACTTTCTTTCATAAATGTACAAGCAGTGTGTCGGTTGGTTTACAAATTTTTTGTGCATCCATTTCATAGTCTCAATTACAGTTACATTGCATAATAACTCATATTATCAATCAAAAATTGAATACCCTAGCATCACTATTAAACAATCATTTGACTATAATTTTATTCATTCATACTTTGTGAGATAACTATAATTTACTTAGTTTATTTTATAACAATTCATATAATCCTCCCAAATCTATCCTAAAAACATTTTATAGATATGATAACAAAAAAAGAAATACATCTTTACATATTCATTATTTTCTAAAATTCTAGATATTCTATTATTGTATTTTATTATCTAACCATTGATAGAAAAGGTCCCAAATTTTATAAAATTGTTTATCCTCTTGTTCTCTAATTTCAAATATCAATCTACTCATTTCAGCACATTCCAATATTTTCTTCATAATTTCTTCCTATAATGGTATTTTCTCATTTTTCCAATTTTTAGCAAATACAATCCTAGCCGCTGTTAATACATTTACAATCAAATATTTTAAATCTTTACTGTATGTATCAGGTAAAATTCCCAATAAAAATATCTCTGGTTTTAAGTCTATGTGTTTCTTTGTCATTTTTTCCAACCGCATGCGGATTTTAGTCCAGTATTTTCTAGCGTCCTCACAGGTCTACCACAAAAAAAAAAAAAAAAAAAAAAAGAAATATTGCTAGCCTGTGGGTAATAGGAAGAGACTAAAATTAGCAAGGTATGGTTAGCATTAAATTTACAAGAAAGGAGTAGAAATATATGTGTCTAATAAAGGATTTTGTGGGAAAAACATGCTGTCTTTGTATCTGCTTCCTCTACCACCATGAGAAAAGCCCTAACAATTGCTCATTGACAAAAATTTGGGTGGGGGACAAACTTCTTAGTTTCAGAGGCTCCTGCTGGATTGAAGCTGTTTATTCAAATAGTGCCCTTGGGTGATTCTATGTCAAAATGTAGAAAAGGCACCAATTCCAGTTTTCTGCCAGTTATTGTCCAATTTTCATTAGAGAAATGGAAATCAGAGTAGCACTCATACAAAATTAGACACCAATTGTACTTTTCTTCTTATTCATGATCTAGAGATATCCCTTGCTTTAAATTCTAGAAAGGTGTTAAGTTTCCTATTCATATTTCCTGTGGGTGATTGGTATTCAACCCCTAAATAAAACACATTTTTCCTCTTCTTTCCCCCACCCCATGGTATTTTAATTTTATATTCTCTTTTCCATAATCTGTTTATATCATTTTGCAGTTCGCCCTTTTCTCCAGTCACAGATAAGATGTTATTTCACCCACACTTCATTTGTCCTCCAAGTAGTCTTATTTTGAGGTAAAATTTCTGGAATATCCACAAGTTTCAGCTTCTTTCCCATTTTGGAATTAGTTTTCTTTTTCATCAGGATTATTTCCTTTGTCATAAGCAGCCACTCGCTGAGGTTTTCCGATTATTCTTAGGCACCGAGAGCCAAGAATTTGCCAAGTGCAGGTGTATATACAGAACTAGAGAACAAAAACACGATAGAAATCTCAATTTTCTTGATTGTGCCTTCCCTACCCATGTCCCACCAGCCCCATCTCTCTCTCCTTCAGGCTGGAGTTCGCAACAATCACAAGATACAAATTGTGTTTCTCAGAGAGCCTCCTTGTCTTCTGACCACCTGGCCATTTCTGACAGGATTTGGCTCCTTTTGAGGCCCCCTCCAAAGTCTGGGAACATTTCAGTGTAATTGTTCTTTAGGGAAACGAGTTCAAATGCTCCAGAGATTTTCTCCATCTCCACAGATGGTTCCTGTACAGGAAGGAGAGGAAGATGGGAGAGACTACCGCCTCTGGAGATGGCGATGCCTTTCTCGGGCAGGAACCGTTCCTCCTGTTCCCATGCCCATCATCCCTTCCCCTCCTCTTGGAAAGGTAAAAAAATGTTACTACCAGTTCTGTGGGCGTGGCTTGGGTGGATGTGGCTTGGCTTGGTGGGCATGGCAGGGGAAGGATACTGTAAAATTTCCATTCCCACTCCACTCCTGAGGGAAGGTTACTGCAAAATCCCCATTCCTTCCCCATCCCACTAACCTGCTTTCCTGCTCCGTTCTCCTGTGCAGGGCAACAAGAAGACCCAGCCAATCAGGCAGAGAATAGATGGGGGCAGGGCCAGTCAGAGGTGGTATTTGCTGGTTCTCCAGAACTGGTCAGAACCTGCTGAATACCACCTCTGCGAAACTCCCTTTCCTACCCTTTTGAGCAGGGCTCTTCAAACTTGACAGCTTTAAGACTTGTGGACTTCAACTCCCAGAATTCCTCCTCCAGTCATGTTAGCTGAGGAATTCTGGGAGTTGAAATCCACAAGTCTTAAACTTGCCAAGTTTGAAGACCCTTGCTCTTGAGCATGAGCACCTGCTTTTCACATAGACCCCTCCAGGAGGTGCCCTCTAAACAAGAGAAAAAGAACACCAAGCGCTTTTCCATTGAGCCACTGGAGGGCGACGATTACCGTGTGCTTTCCAGAGGAGGCTGCGAAGGAAGTGACATCACAGCCGTGCCGCTCTAGGACGCCGCGTTCTCTCCCTTTAACCCCTGGAGCGCCTCAAGGAGGCGGAGAGGCTACGGGAGAGTCTGGCGGGAAGGAGATCCAGACGTGCCCGGGTGAGCGGAGGTGGGGGTGGGGGGGGCTCTTCCCTGCAAAAGGAGGCGGAGGTAGGAGAGACCCGCGCCCGGCCCTCCTGCGGGTTGAACCCCCGGTCCATGCTCCCTAGTCGCCCTCTCCATTGCAGGGGGGTGCAATGGGCTCCCGCCTCGCTCGTGTCCGGGAAAGAGCCCGAGTGGGGCGAGAGGGGAGGGTCGGCCTTGCGGAGGCCCAGCAGAAGAAGAGAGAAGCCGGGCGGCTTCTCCAGCTGCCTCCTTCCCGGACCTGCTCGGGGAGGACCTCGGCCCTGCGCTGGGATGACCTGCTTGGGGCTGGGGCAGGTTGTGTGAATCTGCCTGCGTGTCAGAGGGAGACACCCCGGAGAAGGGAAACGGGGCATCCTTAACCAGGGTCATTTCCTGGCATTTCATTGGATTTGATCTAAACTTGCATGGCTTGTTCCCCAGTTTTGGGTTCAGCAGGTGGTGTAAGTCCTTCTTGGAGGGCAATGCAGTTTTTAAAAGGAAGCTTTTCCTTGTGATCAAAATAGATACAGATAACAGATAATCAGAGTTGGGAGGGACCTTGTAGGTCATC